TGCCATTCCAAATCAAGAGGCCGCAACTGTTGCAGATGTATTGATAAAAGAGTTTATCTGTCGATTTGGAGTGCCCTTGGACATCCACAGTGACCAAGGCAGAAATTTTGAGAGTCAACTTTTCCGTGGAATCTGTGACAGACTAGGCTTGAAGAAGACCAGAACCACAGCATTGCACCCACAATCCGATGGAATGGTAGAGCGAATAAATAAGATCATTGGCAAATATCTGTCAAAAGTGGTTTCAAATCATCAGCGAGATTGGGATCAGTACCTATCTTTCACTCTTTGCAATGGCTAATAGATCCGCTGTCAATGAATCAACAGGCCAAACACCAGCAAAGGTCTTGTTTGGGCGTGAGATGAGACTACCGTGCGACCTTGAGTTTGGATGCCGACCTGAAGAAGATGTAGCTGGTGAAGATTATGTGATCCAGTTACGAAAAAGAATGGACGACATGCATGAATTAGTTCGCTCCCATCTTCAAATCGCCAGCGACAGAATGAAGAAGCGATACGATACCCAAGCAACAGAAGGATGTTTTAAAGAAGGCGACAAAGTCTGGCTTCATAACCCAAAAAGACAAAAGGGTTATTCTTCTAAGCTTCAAAGGTCTTGGGAAGGTCCGTACCTCATCAAGAATAAAATAAATGATGTAATTTACCGTATAAGTAAGATCCCAGACGGTAAACCAAAGGTAGTGCACCAAAACAGGCTGGCGCCATTTGAGGGTGACCATGAAGAAGAAGTAAACCAACTTCAAGAAACACCAGACCTTGTCTTTGAAGAATTTATGGGTGCATATGGAGGTACTGGAAGAGCCAGATATGGTGTCACGACCGAGCAACAACAAGATCTGCTCTCGCTTTCGAAAGACTACTCGCTGGTCCATAGTACTTCCGCCAGCATCAACGACGCGCGAGGACTGGCATATGTGTTCCGTAAGAAGTTTGGTCGACTGGTAGAACTTCAATGTCAGTTACCTGCCCCTGGAAAAGCTTTGAAACTTCAAGACGGGTCGCGTTATCTTTTCTATTTAATAACGAAGAACACTTTCCAAGATCGATCCACCTATCAGGATGTATGGGAAGCATTACTTAGTCTAAGGGAGCACGTGCGGGAGTCCAATGTACAGAAACTAGCCATGCCAAAGATAGAAGGAAATCAACTGGATTGGAGGATCATTAGGAACATGGTGGAAGTCATCTTTCAAGATACCGGAGTTCATATACTGGTCTGCAGCCATTCGCCCAGTGCCCAGGTTACAGCGAAGACCATCCCTTGTTACTTCCATGCAACTGGAAATTGTAAAAGAGGATTCAGTTGCAAATACAACCATTCCAGTTTAGTTTCGTAAGAGTTCCAGGAGGAACTATCTCTTAAGGAGGGGACAATGTAATGTGAGCCATTTCATTATTTAGTCATGCTCTAATACTCCAAGTCCCTCTCTGTATTATTTGGCCTTTGAGGCTCAACTTGTCCGCTTATTATACATAATTGAACCCCTTAAGACCAAACCTATGGGACGACTATGGTGGAGACACTTTCGCGAACATTCCAGGGTCAACGAGATACTATTTCTAGAACGTGATAGCGTTTCTGGTACATACTGGCTATTTTGGTGGGGGAGCATTCTAGGCCACCAATTTTGTATATAAATTGGTGGAGGCGAGCCATCATAATCAGTAGTTATATGGACAGTGCAGATAAATAGTAATTAGTAGATAGACAGTGGTGAATATAAATAGTGATCAGTTTAAATACATTCGAAGTATATATAAATTAGAATAATAGTGTTATACATAAATAAGTGTTTAAATAAATTATTAATAAATAAACTGTTGTTTTAAAGTAAACAAACATCACATTATTAATAAACAAACAGTTGTTTTAATGTAAAAAAACTTCACAATATTAAAATTGCTTCTTCTGGAAATAATGAAAATGAGGCTTATGCCTCTTGTTGCCCCAACCGCTTCAATTATTATCTGAAATAACGCCCAAAAATTTTATTGTATTAGTTCATTCAATGTTATGACTTTCTGAAGTGTCATTTATGTACCATAAAATTGTAGTGTCATCAGCACTTATAGTGAAATTACTTACTATGTTAAGTTAAGTAATTTATATAAAGAAGGATTAAAATGGAACTCAACACAGAACCCTTAAGGACTCTCCAACTTATATGTAAAACTTAAGAGAACCTTATAACTCTTACCATTTGCTTGCGTTCTGAATGGTAAGATTATATCAGCGCTTTGTCTTCGATTCCGTAAACTAGAGGTTTTTGCAACAATGCTGTATGACTGACACCATAAAGCACCTGAGTAAAATCACAGAATATCTCCACTACAGCCTTGTATAAATAATTTTAGAGTAAGCAAGTTCAAGAAAAGAAATTAATGTAAAAAAACAGGCAGGCGGAGGGGGCGATTCGGTCTTGATAATTGATTTAGGCACCAATAATGCATGTGTGTAATTTTCGTTGTATCATCTTAAAAACTTCGTAATGCATTGTAGTGTCGCTAAACATCGCAGAACTGTGCCATTTTTAATTGGTGAGGTAGGATTGTGTAGCGTTCCACTGGTGGGGACTAAAGGGGATCCTATGGACACATTTGATGTGACGATTCTACTACGATACTCATGTTTTTAGGTTTTGAAGACAGTTTCATATCAATTCAAAGTTTTGGACTTAATTTTACTACTTATGCCTCGGACCTCTTCCTTCTAAATATCCCTTAGATCTCTGGGCGGACCGGATATAACTTAGTTCATATGAACCAAAATATCATTAAATATACGGCTATATACGTTTATGGAGACACTTATAGCATTTTTGGATGTGTCAGTCAGCCACATTGTAAAGTTCAACAAACATCCATTCCGTATTAATTCACAGCACTAAGTTTTTAAATTAACACGGAATTTGACTATCTTCCTTATTAAATATTAGAATTATATTTAGTTAGTAAGAAAATGAACCCATATGACATCCCACTTTCCTACTGACGCACTGCTTTGAAGATGAAACCCATTTCTAAAATTTTAAAATACGGTGAAAAGGCTAATCACTTTTTTCTCTTTTCAGCCAAAATATATAGGTACTCGTACCTAGTAATTATATAATTTTTCAAATCTTTTTAATTTTAATTATTTTATGAAACTCGAACGAAATTTAATTTGAATAAACGAATAGGAAAATAGTTTAATGTTGAATCGAGACACTTTTCTGGTTTTTAAACTGGTAAAAGGTAAAAATGCCGACGGAACATTTTGTAATTCATTCACTTTCCGAGCAAAAGACGAAAATAAAAGTCCAAAAGCTCCGCCGGCGAAAAATGCACCGAGTTTCTACGTTTACTCATAAAAAAAATGCCTGATAAAAGCAGAATTTATCTCTATTTACTTAGCACAGGGTAAAATAAGCAGACGTTATTGACTCAATTATTTTTTGTATTTTTATGAGGTAAAAATTGATAAAGCAGTTTGTTACGAATACTGTGATACACGTTTCAGATCTGTGGAGAATTTTTTTAATATCTGCGCTACATATTGGCATATCGATCCTTTTATTAAGCTTATTAAAAAGGAAGTAAAATATTTGAGGTTAAAAAAAAACAATCGGACAAAACAAGAATCTACAGATTTCTCATTTATTCTTTCTGGTAAATCCTAAAATAACAATAGTAAAAAAAAAAAACATTTGGATACGGATTCGAAAAATATAAGGAAAAATCGCAAACGGAAAGAATATTTTAAAGGTTGATTATTATTGATTAAACAAATTGATTTAATAACATTTTTTCTTAAAGTTTCCTACAGTTTTCGTCCTATACTTAATTAAAATTAGGCAAGCAACAAAGTGGTTGATTTTGTGGCGCGGCGAGCGCCAAAGCTGTCACTTAATGCCAGTTCGCGGAAAACTTTACGGTAGGAAATAGATATCTGTGTATTAGAAGTTATTGCTCCGCTGACATGAAATTTGTATGAATTATAGGTATTCGGTTAGAGTCCTAGCATACACAATTTTAAAGATACAACAATATTTTTTATTATTAAAGTGAACCTAGTACTAGGTTAGCACAATTTTTTGATAAAATGGTCAATTTCATGAAACAAAAATTATAAATTTTATTGAAGTTTCTAAAAAGAACAACTTTTAATATAGAATTAACATGAATAACAAAGCAATATTCTTTGAACGAAAACATTCAATTTGTAGTGAATCTTTTTCTTAACCAGATAAAAAAATAATTTTTAAAATTAAATGTATTATAATTACTAAAATTAAATGGCCATTTTGGGTAAAACAAAATTAATAAATATGACTACCATATACTCTCTCAAGACGATCGTGCGACGGAGGGTGTTTGGAGTTCGGATTTAAGGTAGGGGCGCATTTGTACATATCGGACGGAACGGACGCATCGGACAAATCGTACTTTTTTGTAGACATCGCACATTGATGCGGATCGGCTTTTCGTATTTTAGATAATTTTATAATTTTTTTGGTGATTTAATGCTAGAGGCAATATTTTTTTCAATTATATCGAATGACGCCATTAAAACTCTAAAAAATATTACATTTGTCTCTCTATAGAGAAGCAAAATAGTACCTTTTAGGATTAAAGCAGGTGGAAAGTCCCAAACTAAAGTGAGTTAAAAATTAATTTAGTCGCAGCTAACACACGTAACTTTTTATTTTTAATACTGATAATAAAATTGAATTTATATATTTTTATTAAAATGTATATTTTTTTTGTAAAAGCAGAATAATAATTTATGAAATGCCATTATACTTCATTAAACCCATTTAGGAACACCATGTTTTGTAATATTATTTCGGCACACGAACTGACAACACTGTTTAAAAATTAGAAACACTGGCTATCCCGCCCGCATACCCCTCGTCGCATCACTTATTCGTCATTATTGTTTCGTGTTCGACAGTGACGACAGTGTTAATTAAGTGTGATCCGATATCCGATTTTCTAAAATGAAGCGTAAACAGGATCAAGCTTCCAAGAGAAGAGCTAAAAGGAAGCGATTGTTGAAGGATTTAAGAAAAAGAATGGAGAAGTTCGAAAGATCAATGGGAAGTTCCTCTTCAAGTAAGTCAAGTGGTTATATTTATAATAAAAAGTAAATTAATTACGCATATTTAATATTGCATTACAAATATTAAGCCAGATTATTCAAAATAATGCGAATCAATTAAATTAGATATTTAATTTAGTTTAAAAGAGTTTTTAAAACCTATTTAAAAGAAATAGCTAGACGACGAATTGTTTATATTAGCGTGCGAGATAAGAATGTTTATGACTCGACTCCCAAGACAAAAAGTAGACTACGTTTTATTTTTACGAAGCTGTATTTTAAAGAATAAGTTGTATTTCCATAAATGTGGACAACTAACAATTACCTAGTTGTTTTCCCCCTTTTTTTCGGGGCAACTAATGAAGATATGTTTGTGTTGTTTTCTCATGTATTTTTATTGAGCAACCAAAATATAAATGATAGTTGTTTTGCTATGAGCCAACTATTGACCAAACTATTGGCCAAACCCTAAACTATAATGGGCTTTTTAGGTCAGAACTCGAAATCTTTAGATTCAGAGGGTGAATCAGGAAACTCATCTGATAACGATAGGTTAAGAGAGGAGGGAGAAGTGTCCCTAAGTGTGATTTTAGGGGATGAACCGAAGTCGATTAGAGGGAAGGGCCCTCCTCTATGTGAGGCCTTGGTTAACTGGTGGTCCAGTTACTTGGGTGCGGGGCTAGAGAAGGATGTCAGGGAGGCTCTCTCCATGAAATATAAGAAGCCAAAAAACTGCCCATTGTTAGTTGCCCCAAAACTTAATCCAGACATTAAGGCGTCGTTGACTTCAACTTAAATAAAGAAGGACCAGTTTTCCAAGACCATCCAAACTAAATTAGGTAGAGTTCTAGCGGTGGAAGGATCGGTTTTGAATGATATCTTATCACAAAATTCAGTCATTCAATTAGAAGACAACCTAAAAACTACTTTAGCTGACACATCCAAGCTAATATGCAAAGCGCATTACCTAATATCCTACCACCGAAAACATGAACTATATCCGGTATTGAATTCAGAGGTCCAAAAAGTGGCAACGAAATCGAAGATTGACGGGCTCTTATTTGGTGAAGACTTTCAAGATAAATACAAGACGGCGAGAGAAGTGAAGAAGACCAGTTGAGAGTTAAAAGCAACAGGACCCTCAGGATACAAAAAAGAAAAGAAGAGTCATTTAAACTACAAGTGCCAAGGCAACAGACTCAGATTCAAGACGGAGAAGTACGACAGGAGGAACATAGGAGGGAGACAGCCCAAACGAGATAGCAACAGTCAGCAGTTCAATTAGCAGCGCCATCGGCAAGCATCCAGGAAATTAGAGGTACCTAAAAAATATGCAGGCAGAATTAAACTTTTTCGTACTGAATGGGAAAGAATCGCTTCAGACCCAACTATTTAAAGCTGGATTTCTGGGTACCCGATTCCATTTATTAAAAAACCCAACCAAATACACACACCAATGAATTTAAAAATTTCCAAAAAAGAATCCCTCGAATCCCGAAAATTATTCGCAATTTCTGAAGTGACCTCAATTTTTGGCTCTCCAGTGTATATGTCATCCTTCTGCGACAGTTCTTACCTTATTGAAGTAAAGTTATTTAACTTTAATAACTGCCATTCTTCTTATTATTCATCTTAGTTCGTTTTAGTTCATTTTAGTTAAAAAACCATTTGATTTTATAAAACCATTAACAGAACAAAATACTAATACTACGTCTATTATTTGTAAATTTATTGTTACTTTATGTTCGTAGAGAAGGTATAGTATTCAGGAGCAACAGAAAATGATTGTTTACTCAACACAATTTATCACAAGCATACAGTCGACACGACAGATTACTTCGTGGATTTTGACTGGGTGCGCAGAGATAATTCGTAGGCATCGCAACAACAAAGTAGGGATAGTGTTGCCAGTCTAGTACAATTGTACTAGATCTAGTACATTATTTAAGAATCTGGTACTCTAGTAAACTCGAAACAAAATCTGGTACTTTTTGTTTAAGCCTGTTTCCATTTGGACGGGTAAAATATATTGTTGGGTTCCTTGTTTGTGTTCGTTCTCGATAAAAGCTTTTTTTTTGATTTTCAATGAACCAAACCGTCACAATTCAAGAAATACAATTCATAGAATCTGGTACAATTTTATGGAATGAAGTACATTTCTCAGACAAATCTGGTACATATCAAAAATATATTCTGGCAACACTGGCACGCTAGCTTCGTAGCTGCGTCCTTACTCTCTGTGCTCTCTCCATAGATAAATTAATAAAACAAGATAAATTTTTTAAATGCACGCCACTGTCAACACGTTGTAGTTCCCAGCATACTAGACCGGGAGGTAACGACAGAAATTTCCAGGTCATTTTCGCAAATTTAATTTTTTTTATATGAGTTATGCAAGTAATATGTAACTCTAATATGAACGCCTTCCGACGCACCCTTACGACAGGGGGTTGCAGGAGGGTTGCAAATACAGTAAAAAAATTATAAAAAAAAAATCATTTTCGCATGCATGAAACTTGTTGTACACGTTAATTTAAACAAATAAAGTTTAGAAAATATCGTCTTCCACCTGAATTTCACGACAAAGTACGTCTTCCACTCACCTAAATAAGCAAAAAAAAAATGAAAAAAAAAATTATATTCGCAAAGCTGAAATTAAGTGTGATGCTTATTTTTGTAATAAGAAAGCTAAAAATAATAGTCTTCCATCGATACAATACAACAAAGGTCATCTTCCAAGCTAATAAAGGTGCGCGTCACATGCGGCACATGCTAGTTATAAATTCCAAAACGGAAATTTTATTTTATTTTTTATTAAGCAAAAATACACTTAAATGGATATTTAAGACAACTCTGGACTAAAGCTACCTTAAATAACAATAACAATAATGTCTGACTCCTATTTATAAACTAAAAATGATTATTAAACGAAGATAATTTAATTTTAACATGAAAGAGTCTTATGTTCACAATATATAAATCCTTCCTGCTTAAATTTTAAAAAATATGGAGGTATTTTTCAAAACACCTTCTGTGGAATTGCTTAATTCAGTTTCTTCGTTTTCTTTCTTCTATATCTTCTTAAAAGTTGTCTTCTGTACTTAATTAGTATTAAAATAATTATGCAAATAAAAATTACAAAAATTGTTCCAAAAGTGCTTGAACAATTAAAATTATTTTGAATTTCTTTAATTGGCTTTATATGTTTAGAAATTTGATTAATTTCATATAAATAATTAAAATCTAATTTAGTATAGGTATTAGAATTTTGATAAGATTTTGAAGTTTTGAAATTTTCTTCATGTCGATCTTCGGTAGAATGAAAAGCTTTCCTCTGCTCAGTTGAATGTTGTTGATATATTTTCTACCATTGGTCCAAATTTCACAAGATTTTGGTATTTTGATTAACACAAGTGATCTTATGTCTATAATATACTGGTTACTGTTACATTTTAAAAGAATTTGTTTAAGTTTTGACGGGGTTATTAAGACTTCATCGACTGCGATTTTTTCGAATACTGATTCTTCTAAATTAACATTTAAAATATGACAATTTGTCAAAGTTTTTCCATCAAGAAGTTGGAGAGTACAATTATCTGTGGGGATGAAATTCTGTTGACAATAATAGATTTCTTTAAGGGATGGACATTCTTCTCGTTCAAACTGTGTATCTTGATGTTTTCGTGCCAAAAAGGGGAATAAAGGTATATACATTTTTTGGTTTTGGATAATTGGGAATAAATGATAGAATTCAAAGGTATTGCTGTCAAAAATAGGAAAATGTATTGCAACATTAACTTAGATTCTGAAATTAATACTTGCTTTTCTAAGAACTGATAATACGTTAATAAATTTGTAAATATCGAAATTTAATTAACATTATATATTTTATGTAAATATTTTATCATGTTTTTTGCAAATTTTGCAAAAATTATGGCATTTTCCAAATTATCTATAAAATAAATTGCCATTTGACAATCTAAATCAATTTGTGATATAGTAGCCTGAAAACTAATATATGTAACTTTTAAGTGTATTGATTCTATTATAAATAACTGCTTGAATTTTTTCCATATCAACTTTAAATTTTTCTTGATTTTTGCTTAAGATATTGTATAACATTTCTTTGATTTACTTGCAATATTTTGATAGCATTATTATATCTTTCTTCGTCACCGGAATCAAGATTTCCAAATACCCATTTGTTAATTTTTCCAATTGCATTTATTAGAGCTCTTCTATGTCTTACATGAGGAACTAAATTATTATTATTTTTCTGAATAGTAATTATTAGATATTCTGTTCTTTTTAATATATTTTGCGATGGGCTACAATAAAATATAGGATTAGTTGCATTAACATGAACTATACTATGTTTTGTAGATTCAAAATTATTAACTTGTTTAACTACTTCTTCTAAATCTAAGTAATGTAAACTTGTATGTTTGCTATATCGGGTGTTCAACTTAAAGCGTTACAGCCATATACCGCTTTTTATAAAAAAAAAACGTTTCAGACGAAAGTTTTATAGTTTTGTATGGAAAAACTTTTGAATAAAATCGTTTTTTTAGCTAACCATAATATGGCCAACTTTTTTTTCGCTCAGCAACATTTTCAAGTAGCTGTTACTTAAAAAGTAAAAGTCCAATAAAAAAAATATTTCCCTCAAAAGTTTCTTATTTTTTTATGTACTTTAAGAATATGTAAGAAAAAAAATGGGATTCCCATTTAAAAAAACAAAGTCCACCTCGATATGGCCATATTATGGTCAGCTACAAAAAAATGAATTTAACCAAAATGTTTCCCCCAAAAAACTATAAAACTTTTGTCTGAAACTTTTTTTCTAAAATGCATATTTTCGGCGGTATTTGACTGTAACACTTTAATTTGAACACCCGGTATATAAGTTTAGCGATTCCTAACTGAATAAGAATCAGAAAATTTTCTATTGGAGTGATCTGTATATCAGAAGATGTATGTATTTGGCATACTTAAATGACTTGTAGAACTTGTACTAGGAACAGCGTCGTTATCCAAATGGATTTCATTTTCGTTGATATCCTGTAACAAATTTTTAAAATTATTTTTCGGTTTTCCAAGAACACTTTTATGATAAGTACCCTTATCCGTTTTTATTAAAATACTTTCATCTTCAATGAAATTTGCCTTTTTAAATTTTGGTAATTTTTATTTCTTGATTTTTTGAGTTTTGATTAGAATGGTTATCTGATTCTGTTAGAATATTCACGAATTTAATTGTTAAACCGAATAAATTGAACGTGGCGCGCAGTGGTCGTACTCTCTTATGAAGGGTAGTCTGACTGCCTGGACACGTCTTTATTAATTTCTATGAAGTGATACATTCCTGTCCGTACCATTTTGTCACGTCTTGCGTACAGGATAATCTCGAGGTGCGCTAACACGGTCATCCTGAAATTGGGCCGTTCTCGGCCCAATAAGAAATAAGTAGTCCACATATATAAATAGAAATACATAACTCTTTTAATCTTACATTAGATATACTTACAAAAAAAAACTTATTTAGAATAACAATTATAGTGATACTATATGATCAGAAAAAATAAATAAATCTGGTGACCTCCAGATAGATTTTCTGACACGACTCTTCCTAGTCTATTCGGCTTCATCCTGATTACTAGGTTGGTCAGAAGCATCATTCTGGAAACGGAAAAACAACAATTTAACAATTATGTTACTTAGCCTCAGGTCTTTAATAAAACCAACCAGAGAACCGGCCAAAAACTTAAACTTGGCACGACAGGTTTTTATTAAAAC